AGAGCGACCGCTGGAGCTCGGCCTTGGCCTCCGTCTCCTCCTCGTACTGCTCCCGCAGGAGGTCGCAGTCGTGCCGGGCCGACTGGAGGGCGTGGGCCAGCGCGTTCTTGGCCTGGAGGGGGGCGAGGAGAAGGTGGGACCATCGGGTGCACGGCTGCTGGAGCCGGCTTGGGGTCCTCCAGCTGAGGGAGTTCTGGTCTTCATCACCCCAACCCAGCCTGACCTTCTGTAGACCAACCCAACCTACTCTAGACCAACCCAACTGACCTCCTCGCTGCCAACCAACCCAACCCGCTCCCTTCAGTCCCAAACCAACCTCACCCTTGACCTTGGAGGTGTCTTCCACCCTGCAACCTTCAGCCCTGTTGACCTCCCCACCAAAGCCCTACCTTGGTTTCTTCCTCCAGCTGCCTCTTGAGGTCCTCCAGCTGCTGGGTGTAGGTGAGTTTCCCTCGTGTCAGCTGGTTGATGAAGGCTTCCTTCTCCTCCAGCTGCCTGGAGAGCTCACCTGTGGAGTGGAAAGGTGGACAATCACCCCCTGGAGAAACCCCAAAGCCACCCCGCTGGGCGCAGGATCAACGGTTGCATTGGGGACAAGCAAAGGCCTTCACCGTTCTCCGTCTGGAGCTTGGCTCGTTGGGTGGTGAGGTCGTTGACCATGCGTTGAGCCTCCTCGGACTTGGTCCGGTGCTCGTTCATCTGGTCCTCCATGGTGCGGCACATCTTCTCCAGGTTGGCCTGGAGACGGGAAGGGCAGGAAGATGAAAGGGAATGTAGGGAGAGTGTTGCAAGAGTTGTCCCATCATGTTTGGACACCCATCTCCTACCTTGGCCTTGACCAGCTGCTCCATGTTGGAACCGATGTCGTCCAGCTCCAGCTTGAGCTCGCTCTTCTCCTTCTCCAGCTTCTGCTTGACGCGCTGCAGGTTGTCCATCTGCTCGCTGAGCTCGGCCACGCTGTCGGCGTGCTTCTTGCGCAGGGCGGCGGCCGTGGCCTCGTGCTGCAGCGTGGCCTCCTCCAGGTCCCGCCGCATCTTCTGGAACTCCGCCTCCCGCTTCTTGTTGAGCTCCATCTGCACCGAGGTGGCGCCGCCCGCCTCCTCCAGCCGCTCGCTGATCTCCTCCAGCTCCCGCGACAGGTCCGAGCGCAGCTTCTCCACCTTGGCCCTGCCTGTCCGCTCCGCCTCCAGCTCCTCCTCCAGCTCCTCGATGCGTGCCTGGGATGCGGGGATGGAGAAGATGTCATCAGGCTTGGCTCCACCCACCTTGTCCCCTCAACCCGTTCCAGCCAGCTGAAGACCCTTCAGCTCAACTCAACCCAACCAGCTGGAGAATCTTCAGCCCAACTCAGCTCAACTCAACCAACAGGAGACCCTTCAACCCAACAGCTGGATGCTCTTCGGCCCAGCCCAATCAACCCAACCATCTGGAGACCCTTCAACCCAACCCAACCCAACCAGCTGGAGATCCTTCTACTGAACCCAACCAACTGGAGATCCTTCAACTCAACCCAACCAGCTGGAGACCCTTCAACTCAGCTCAGCCCAACCAACTGGAGACTCTTCAACTCAACAGGTCTTGAGGACATTCAGCACAACCTTCTCAGAGGACACTGGAGTCACCGTGATCCACCCCAGATGTTCTGCTCAGCTCAAGTGATCCTACCCAAGCCACCCCACCAGCCTTGAACCTTCCAAACCCGCTGGTTGACATCACCCCACCCCAAAGACAACCCACCCAGGAACCCACAAGTCATTTCTATGAGATAAATCACAGGGAGGTTCCAGATCAAGGGACGTGCCATGGGCTCCAGACCTCAGGTGGGTCTAGGTCCTTCTCAGAATGGGTCCTGGTTGACCCACAAGGTGAACCCCACCTGAAGCTCTTTGAGCTTCTTCTGGAGCTGTGCCGCAATCGCTTGCTCATCCTCAATCCTGGCGTTGAGTGCGTTGAGCTCAAAGTCTTTCCTGGGTGGGGAGGAGAACCACCAGCCCATCAATGCTGCTGGGTCCGCGGCAGAGAGAGGGATTATGGGTCTAGAGTGACAGGGTGGGGCCCTACTTCTTCAGCCTCTCCTCCAGCTGCTGCTTGTCGTTCTCCAGATCCATGATGTTCTCCTGGGTCAGCTTCAAGTCGCCTTCCAGCTTCCTCTTGGCCCGTTCCAGGTCCATCCGGATCTTCTTCTCCTGCTCCAGTGAACTCTCCAGCTGCGTGCGAGGTGGAGACCCACCCATCAGCCCCCAAAAATATCCCCTGCAGGACCTTCACACACACACCCCCCCCCCAAGGGTTCACAACTCACATCGTCCACTTGCTGTTCCAGCTTGACTTTGGCCTTCGTCAAGGTGTTGACCTTATCCTCCTCTGCCTGCAGGTCATCCAGCGTTTGCTGGTGAGCTTCTTGCAGGGCCTTCTTCTCCTTGGTCAGCTTGGCGATGGTCTCGTCCAACCCGGCCATCTCCTCGGTCAGGTTCTTGACCTGCAGGAGGAGAAACATCAGGTGTCCAGCTTGGTGCCAGCGGCAGGGCAAGAGAGGGGAGGTTCTTCCTGCTCTTGGTTGAGCTGCACCTAAGTCAGGAGATGCAGGAGAACCCAATCGGCCTTGGGTCTTTGCAAACCGACCAACCTTGGGTCTTGTTGACCCAACTCAACTAATCTTGGGTCTTGGCGACCCAACCAATCTTGGGTCTTCTCAAGACCTATTGCGTTGGCTTGAGTCAACAGGTTGAGGTGGAGGCTTCTCCTCGCTCTCACCTTGTTCTCAGTGGCATGTTTCTCCTTCTCCACCTTGGCCAAAGACAACTCCAAGTCATCGATGTCCTTCTTGAGCTCTGAGCACTCGTCCTCCAGCTTCCTCTTCTTGGCCGTCAGCCCCGCGCCCCCCAGCCGCTCCGTCAGCTCCTTCACCTTGGCCTCCAGCTGGATCTTGTTCTTGATCAGCTGGTCACAGCGCTCCTCGGCGTCGGCCAGGTTGTCTTGCTCCTGGAAGGGTGGGAAGGTGGGTGGGAGGGTGAAGGAAGGAGGAGGGAAGGGCTGGGGCATCCCCTTGACGTGGTTGTGGGGGTCCATCTCACTCACAGCCTGCACTTGGAGCTGCAGGTCATTCTTCTCCTGCAGCATGGAGACCATCTTCTCCTCCAGCTCCTTCCGCCGGG